TATGGACGATACCATCCGCTGAGGATCGATTTTTTCACATCTTTAAATTTTATATTTACATACGTTCTATTCCTGATATTGAGCACATCTCATAAATGTAACATACCTTAAAACAATATTTCTATGATACACATACGCGCGCGCGCGCGCACACACACACACACACACATATTATTTATATAATATTTTAAATAATATTTAGCTCTAAGTATTGAGCCTTCTTTTAAATTAAATGTTACGTACAGTGGGGTCATACTTCATTTGTTTTCGTTTCTATATATATATATATATATATATATATATATATATATATATATGTGTGTGTGTATTTGTGTGTGTGTGTGTGTGTGTTAAAGTGCTTTCAAACTGATCCTCTCAGAAGATGAACTTACTGTAGAATCTATGGGCCCTTACCAAATGAAACTGTAAGAACATCAGAAAACCTGATAGAAATAAAAAAGTCTTGTATACACACACTCACTCACACGTATATATATATATATATATATATATATATATATATATATATATATATATATATATATATATATATATATATATATATATAGAAAAAATAAACGACATCCTAAATAAAGCATTGTATTTAAACAGTCAAAAATGTTTTTTAATCATAAAACTGCTGTTAGTTATGGTTATATATATATATATATATATATATATATATATATATATATATATATATATATATATATATATATATGACGTCACACATTATGTTCGAATCCTGTCGGAGGACGAATATTTTCTGTGAAAATTTCTTGGACATTCAGGTCGGTAAATGTTGTCTAATACTGTTTATTATAAACAGAGCATTTATTTAAATATTTGTATCTATAAAAAGAATGTATAAACATAAAAAATATCTTAATATATATATATATATATATACATATATATATATATATATATTATTTTAGCTCCGGTAAGCTCATGATGCGTCTACTTACAAAGTTACCGGAGCTAAACTCCATTGACTCTCTCACCTCAAAAAACACTGGAATAGTTATATTAAACTACTTGTGCTATCTTTACCGTTTTAGGCATGTTAGCTTTATCTTTAGTTATCGAAACCATTTTTTTTTCTATTTTTGCGCACAGGTGTTCGCTTACTACGGATCTACTTTCAAGCCGTGTTACACGCAATAAAAGGGATGGCTTTCAATCGATTCATTAGAGCTGGAATCAAACAAGAGACGACAGATTTCGGCGGAATGTCACTTGCTTTAAACAAAGGACGGGCACGTGCTGAGAGAACGCTCAAAGAAGAAGAAAAAAAAGAAATCATCTTAGAAGTTTTACATAATTCTTTTGCTTACGCAGTGGGCAATGACATTAGTACTCCATCCTCGGACTGCTGTTTCTTATTTCCTTTGAGGAATCCAAGGTGGTTCTCAGAGGTCATTACGCTCCTGGACTTTGAAATCTCGATCAAAAACACACTGTTTTCCGGCCATATTGAAGTGAATGCATCTATTCAAATACACAAAGCATATTAAAGGAATCGACTCTCTATATGACGGAACTTGCCAGCTGAAGTGATCGAAAGATTATTCAAGATGAAAAACAAGTACTAAAATAAACTTCAAATATTTCTGTTTCGACTGCATTACATTGTTTTGTTAACGGTAATATAATCCATTTCACTATAAAAAAAAATGACATTCATTGACCAAGCAACCAGTTCTGTTTTCGGCTGAAATTTATAAAATCATTCTCTTAAGACAGGTTTTTCGGAAAAAAGATTTCTCAAGTCCAGTAGATGTTATCGTTCTTTCCAGTATTGGTGGGAGGTTTCCTTCCTAGCCGTTTATTTGATGTAGTGTGGAATGTTAACATCTTGATGATATTATTTTCTTTTTTCTGTTATATGTGCTATTCATTTTAGTTGTCACTACTTTTGGAAATCCTCAAGTAATGTGGTTTCTCTTATTTGGAACACTTCTTTGTTTGTGATTCTTTAGCGCAAGTCCATAACGTTCAAAGAAGGATAATATTTGCCAAAAGCTTCAGGCTTCATTCGCTTAAACTCATTTTTAACCATTTAAGAAGCGATTGTATACAGCTGACAGTTTAGATATTTCTGAACGGGCCTGGCGGTATGCATGACATCCATATGAAAGTCTCGATCTGACGAGGCTATTTAAAAACATCACTCGAGTTTTCAGAATGATGTTTTGATTTCGTAGAAATTTGCAATGTTGGGCGAAACTAACCCTACAACAGTCTATTCTATATTCAATTTATTTTTCCCTTTACTTGATTTGTTATAACTGATCCATACGTTGAGGCATCTGAATTGTTTAGTATTTCATAATTCCACATTTTAGACCGTCCTGGGTATGACGATAAACTACGTCCAGCAGCAATGCCTCTTATCAGAAAGTTTTGAGGAGCGTAAAACCACCTCTTAATTGCTGATGTTCCCAGATCCACACTGACCCGGGGTGGTAGCAGCTGTTAGGGTCCCAGATGTGGGCAAATAGTTAACCTCAAAATTGAGGTAAAAACTTTATGAAAGTGTAAAAGAGGTTTTACTACCAGAAATATTTAAAAAATTATTACCAGCAATAAATTTTTAAAGAAAAAAACAACCTATTACCAACAATGTTTTTGAAAATAAATATTACTAGCAATACATTTTTAAATGAAAAATATTACCAGAAATAGACTTTTGATAAAACAAAATATTACCAGCAATAAAAATTTTGTCGTCATTAAATAACCCACTGAGTGTGATATACCGTAAAACAAACCAAACCAAACCACATCCCAGAATAGATGCCATCACTCTTTTCATTCAAATTCCAGATGATAATTTCTGTTTTGGAATGGTTTATTTTGAGTCCCAGTTCTTGGAACACTTGATAGAGGGTGCTTGGCCTTCTGTTCAAGATATAGGTATGTAGAAAGTGGATATAGAGAGAGTTTTGTATATAAATAATTCTTGAGGACTTTTCAGTTATGTTCATGTAGGGCTTAGGTTGGCTGTGTTTTTGCCAGAATCAAAACTGAAGAGACTTAGCTATCTGTATTAAAAGGCAGGCTTCCAAATATTGGATTCCCTGTGGCTTTGCGAAACCTGATAGATATGCACACGGAAAGACAGATAAATAGCAAGGAAAAAGAAACAGAGAAAGAGAGACGGGGAGGTAAAGTGATAAGCAGGTAAATATGAAGCGATTAAGAAAGAAAAGAAAAGGAAAGAAAAGAAAAGAAAAAAAAGAAAGACAAGGAACAGAAGATAAGTAAGAGACAAAGATAAAGAAAGAAATTAAAGAAGAAAACATTAAATATCAAGAAAGACAAATAAAAAGACAAAAAAACCAAGAACCGCAATGCATGAAAATAATTATACCAGAAAGAAAGGAAACAAAGAATTAATGTGTTATGGTCCAAGTTCCTTGTACCACCGTGATGGTCCAAGGTTAGAACCAATGAAAGAATAACACGAACACAGGTATGGAATACAAAGATATATTACAACAGAAATATAATACAAAGAAGTAGAAGTATTAGTAATGACTATCAGATTTGGTTAGAGTGAACTATGTTGTCTCGACAAGTATCACTATTCCAATGTCCTTACAATATGCTCTCAATTATCTCTCCTCGTCTTACAATCTCCATCATACCTCTTGAGAGGCGCAGTATTTATAATGTCAGGAATAGTCTATTATTATTATTATGGGTAAGTTCCCATAACATAATGAAAGAATGAAAAAAAGAAATCAAGAAAGGAAACAAAGTAAGTAAAAGGGAAAACGAAAAAAATAAATAAGTAAACAAAAAAGAAAGCAAAGCAAATCCCCGAAATATAAGCAAGAAAGCAATTATAAAAGAAAGAACGAAAGAAAGAAATGAAAAAAGGAAAAATAGTAACGGACAAACATTAAGAAAAAGTGAAGAATGAAAGAAAGAAAGAAAGAAAGAAAGAAAGAAAGAAAAAAATCAAAAAAGAAACGAGAAAGAAAACAAGCAAGAAAGAAAGACGAAAAAATGGAAGTAAACATGTAAGCAAACAAGAAAGAAATAAATGAAGAAAGAAAAGGAAAGAAAGAATTGAAGAAAGAAAGAAAACGAAAGAAAGATATGAAGAATGAATGAAAGAATAAAAAAAAGATAGCAAGAAAGGAAACAAAGAACGTAAGAAAAACCGAAAAAAAAATTAAGTAAACAAAAAAAGAAAGAGCAAGCCAAGAAATAAGCAAAAAAGCTCCTATAAAAAAAAGAACGAAAGAAAGAAATGAGAAAAAAAAGCAAGAAAGGAAGCAAAGAAAATAAGTTAATTAAGGACAAAGAAGGTGACCAAAGGAAGTCTTTACTGAGAAATTAAACCTCCATTCGACCAATTATTTTGAAAATTGATTCCACTCCAAGCGCAAATGAAAAATTCAACCCAGACTTAAACAAGCGAGGAATTTTCGAAAGAGTTATCTGCCTCTTATTTCCTCGGAAAAATTGTTTATTCAACCGCATCGAATTCTCTCCTGGATTCCGCTCTTAGATTAACTGCAAGTGGGACATTTTCAACACGAGGTTTCATGTTTCCAAGAGGTAAATTTCCTGGCCAACGTACAAATCAATTTCTTTCAGAAAAAAAAAGGATCAAACATTTTTCAACCTATGGGAGGCTAAAATTAAGGTTTAGAGTATTTTCCCCACTAGTACGTAAACTCTACAGAAATGTAGTTTCTACGCAGTTTGCACAGAAAAATGCGGCAAAATCCTTGAAAGGCAATATTAATGTGCATGAACTCTAGCACTTCAGATGAAATTATCCAAAGATAAAAATAGTCTATTTTATTATATGGCTTCATTTAGATATTCACAGTCCGTAATAGATAGATAGATAGATAGATAGATAGATAGATAGATAGATAGATAGATAGATATTGTGTTGAGAGGTCACAAGAGACCGAAATGTAGAAAACAGGTACAAATATGCATTAAAGGTTTGTATACATAATAAATTGATAAATTCAAGAGAATACAATGGGACAGACAGATAGATAGATAGATAGATAGATAGATAGATAGATAGATAGATAGATAGATAGGTTTATGTTGAAATGTAGAAAACAGAGAGACAAATATACATGAAAGGTTTGTATATATAAATAACTGATAGATTCAAGAGAAAACAATGTAATAGATAGATAGATAGATAGATAGATAGATAGATAGATAGATAGATAGATAGATAGATAGATCCGGAGTGAAACCTCGAATTAGAAAAATAGATAAAATGACTGATGAATATGTCGATAAAGTAATAGACGAAAATCTGATAATTTAAATTTAAGATTCTGGCAATCTTACTGCTCTAACAGTAAGATTCCGAATTATTACAATTTGGAATTCAGTATTTTCTATTGAGAATCCTTGTTTTATTGGGAACGTTTTAATTAGAGAATGAGATATGAAAGTAGGGACGAGATTTTTTTTTTATTTCAGATAGTCTAACAAGTTCAAAACGTCCTGGGACTACTCATGTCTTTGAGTGCTAATTGACGCAATGTAGGTAGAAAAATCCATACATTCAGTAAAAATTAAAAATAAAATCATCTTTGATAATATCTAAAAGAATAGACGAAAGCGCTTGGACATAAAGAAGATTCGGACAATTTCTACATAATTTATATCCAGAAAAGAAAAAAAAATATAAGCAGACAAGAAAAATTAAATAAAAAACTTAATCACATTATCTTGTAAGTCGATTTTTAATGAAACTTCTGTAAAAGAAGGATTGCTGTCCATATACACAATTACATATACGATAACGATATATAGTTTTATATATCAAAAAGAATGTTGGGGAAATTTTATGTCAAAATGGAAAAAGCTTACTTATGGCCCTTTCTGTTTTTTAGAACTTCATCTGACTAAATTTGCTATGTTTCTACGAGGACACATACTCACGAACGAGGGTGTTGGGGATTTTAGAATTTTCTTATATTTTTATATATCTAGCCGATTTCAGTTAGAGTCTTTTTCACTGTTGTTAGTAGATATCTCACCCTCGGCCTTGTGCCAAATCTAAGCTACGCTTGAAAAATCACAGGTAGATATCTCACTCTGTGATAAGAGAAGATCTACCAGGAATGTTGAAATGTTGTAAGAGCCAAGGTGCAAATTTACTGTAGATGATCTTGCAATCAATGCACTCTCTAGATATTAACGTCATTTCGAAGTTTTCTCCTTTGTTCAGAGTAGCATTTTTTATGTTAAAATCGTGGCCATTCTCGTTAGGGTTGGAAAACAAGACATTTGATGTATTGTTTTGTAAAATGTCGCTTTTGTGTTCAGATAAGTTTCTCCAATGTATTATTTGTGGCAATTATATTAGGTGATGGAGTAGATGAAGTAAATTCCTCCTTCAGATTTTAGCTTATTGTTTTGTTTACTATTGACTAACTCCTACTGTTCTGGATGTAGTAGTAACAAATTTTATGTTTTAGATAGATACTGGTCGAGTGTAGATGTGATATATATATATATATATATATATATATATTGATAATATTAGTGCTCAATATATATATATATATATATATATATATATATATATATATATATATATTATAGCGTCTGGTTTAACGTAATTTCAATGAAAAAAATAATTTGAATATCATATGTATTTTTTCTTTTCTCTTCAGTAATTTTATAATTTTAAACTTAATAGAGGTTAAATTTAAATTTTAAAATTAAAAATCTTTTACTTTTAATTTTAATATCAAATTTTATCATATAATTTAATACTTATTGGTTAGAATAAATTCTATTTTAGTATAACCCCAACTTTAAATCTCTTAATAGCTATTACAACCTTACTTCGTTGTTAAGTTTTTTAACTTCTCTTATACTTGTGTTTTGATTGGTCATTCTAGCTTATGTAACAGCGTTTTCCCCTTGCGAAGGATCGTTAATTAATTTGAAACTTATAAAACCATTTATTCTACATTCAACATTTGTTGAAACAAAATGGCTATTTTTGTAGTGATTTTATAACATATTTATGTTATAATTTTTAAATAAATAATTATATCTGCTCTACTCTGTATTGAGCACTCTTTTAAGAATAGTAATTGTTGGTTATTGGAATTTATTCCGTATACACCAACCCTATACTTGTACATATATATATATATATATATATATATATATATACATGTAAATTCCCAAGAGGATTGAATCCAGGTAGAAATCAATGTCCAGGACAGAGTAAGAATATAATATAAAAAGGCTAATATTAGTGTTTGAGCCTTTTATATCACACACACACACACACACACACACACACACACACACACACACACACACACACACACACACAGTCGCTTCAAATGTTAAATTCTTCATGAAATTAATCGAAAGTTGTCCCTTTATATAGTGTTTAATTTTATTATTTTCATTACCTTTGTCGTATTTGTTATTTCTATAGACTTTTCGGAATTAAGTTTTGCTGACGACCGATATGAATCCAGGTTGTGCTGCGTTAAATCGTTCAAATAAAGGCAAATAATGAAAGAAAAGAAAAGGATGCCCGAGGAATATTCAATAAAAAGAGTACAAAGAAATCTCAAATGGTGCGAAGTGCCATACTGTAGCAGCTGCTGAAAATATGAACAATTGGCGCGCAGTTGCCAAAGCTAATGAATGTAATAAAAACACAGCCAGACAAATGGTTGTTCAGACTTTTTTGAAAGCTAAGTGACGTAGAGGTGTGAGACCATATGTCCGGAACTTTCAGCAATGCCTATGATACTCGCTCATATATTGACAGTGTAAGGAATAGCAATAGACTAGCTATGAATTAAAGACACTAGAATCAAGCAAATCTAGAAATTGAACTAACTAGATAGTGCTATAACAGACGAGAAAAAAGTACTAGAGAAATACGGTGATACATTAGAATAGATAAAGGTGCCTTCCAAAAGCTAACCAAAGTATTAAGAATCAAGAAAAGTGTTGCATTATTTATTTACTATCTACTTGAATCTTGAAGAATTTCTTCACAGATGAAAGTTGAGTGATTGTTAATTTTTAGCGGCGTAACGACCTCTATGGGTTATTTAATTCCGAAATCTGAATATTTTGTAAGGAATTTTGTGACTTCAACTACAGATATTTTGTAAATCATTTTATACTTTCAGGGCAATCGTATGCTTTTTAGATATATTGTTTGTAGATTATAAAATGTATTGCTGATAATTTTGCTATAAAAATATAATTATCTACTTTAGTACTGTATTGATTGACATTTTGCTATAAAAATGCAAAGTTGTTATTGACATTTTGCTATAAAAATGCAAAGTTGTTATTGACATTTTGCTATAAAAATGCAAAGTTGTTATTGACATTTTGCTATAAAAATGCAAAGTTGTTATTTTCGTTATAAATATATTTCTGGTATTTTAACCATAATGTATTTTTAGACATTCTTAATAAATCACTAAACAAAAATCAAAACACTATTTGCCCCTAGCTGTGAATCTGACAGGTGCTACCCTCGCGGGTCATGGTGGACCTTGGAACAACAGCTATTAAGAGGTTGTTTTATGCTCCCCAACACCTCCAATCGCCCAATCAGAGGCCTTGCTGCCTGATGTAGTTTATCGTCATTACAGGATTACTGAAATTTGGGGCAAACTTAGAGATATGAAGTATGCCGAAAATACCATGAAAGGGGCATTTAACCAACAATGAAGTTTTTAATATCTCAATCATTTGAAATTTCTAATAGACATTATGAAGGAAGAAGGGTTAAAAATTTGACACTCATAAGGCAAATTGAAAGCAAAAGACTCGGAGGGAAACATCGAGTAACCTCCCTAACGAGACTGGAACGGAGAACATAGAGAGGAGAGGAAGATGTATTAAGAAATGAGAAACATAGATCTAAAACATATAGGATGTTGTGGGGAGATATGATTGAACGCGACTCGAATGATCATGGCTCATAATGAGAAAAAGGATTGGAGAATTTAACACTCAAAGGAACAGAGGTCGGGAGGGAAGTTGAAAAGACAAACCTTACTAACATCCACAAAGGAAAGGAAATTGTGGAGAGCTGTTGATCGCCATGTTATGAAGTACATGGCACATAATGAGGACAGGATATTTAGAGAAATTGACATTCACAGAATATCATAAAAGCAAGAAGCAGATTGGGAGATTATCCTGTCTAATAAACTTGTTGAAATCGATCGCAGAACAGGGACTGGAATGGATGGTAAAGACAAAACTTACTAAGAGGTACAAAAGAAAGGAAGTTGTGGTGAGCCATGAACAAACATGCCCTAAAGAAGAATGGCATATAAAAGAAAAATACCATGTCGTTGACAGTGACGTCCATCCGGCAAACTGATACAAAATGTGACCCGAAACAACAGTCTGTCTTTGTACGCACTACTTTATTTGACCAACTACCCAAAATCCAAATGTGGGGTTTTATTTATTCTCGTTTGACACACCTCATGCTTGCTAGCTTTCGTGTGTGGGTCTACAGCTTCAACACGTTAGGCGTTGACAGCACATGCCCAACTGGTAGTGAATTCAGAGCATGGTTTCGCTTACACTGGTTGCCAACTAAATCCGTATTATTTCCCTCACAGTACAGGGGTAGAATAGATAGATTCATACTTCTTTCAAAGTGTATTTGCTCGAAAATGAAGGTAACGAAACTCGACTGAACCTCGAACTCACCTTTTGTTTTATCTGTTCCAGGTGTTAATCATTACACTAGCCACGCACTCACCTGTCTATCTACCTTCTTATATACCTGGTGTAACACCAAAATTATCCAAAACATGTAAAAGCAAAATTGTCCATTTGTTAGATTAAACTCTTACCGTGGGATCTTAGAAATGATTAAAGACATCTTACTGGAATTCTCCCAGTATTTTATAACATTACTCTGGACTCTATCCATCATCGCCCTCTCTAACCTTCTAACTTTATGTCCTGGAGTAAAATGGTGCCTTGCAGTTTTCACGTTGGATTTCATTTTCAAGTCTTTCTTCACTGCTTTTTGGACTGTCATAGCTGAAACTACTCCCCCATTTGTCAAATGTCATATGGATTGAGTTGGATCTCTTTAGCTCTAAGTTGAAATGATAATCCCTCTTCCCGTTGTGACTTCCTGATCTAGTTTTACTCTGTACTGTTCTCTTTTGTTAAGCTTATTCAACGTTTTCTTGATGGTTCTTGAATGGACATTGAAGATAGAATAAGGGATGAATGTTGGTACAATTACTGAAGGACAGAATTATCTTTTTCCTTTCACCATTGCTCAGTTGGTAAGACAGTGGGGCTGACACCAAAACATTTTAATCTATTCTATTTCTAGCTGAATAACTCGAAAGAGTTTTTCGCTGATTCTTACAAAAAATGGTTTCAGTGTGGCTAAACGTTTTATCTGAAAACCTGTAAAAAATAAACTCAGTTTGTTCAGTGGTGTTTTAGGTATTGAACATTTTCTAAGATGGACAATTATGCTGTTACACGATTTGGACAATTTTGCTGTTACACTCGGTATATGCAAGTATTTGTGCGCGTATCTATGTGTTTGTGTATGTGTGTGCAAATAAGTGTATGTTAGCACAAGTAGAATCAACATCTTGACTCAAACTTTCACAAGTAATATTAAATGTCACCTTCATAGGGTATATAATCGAAAAGAGAACTATTATGGTTAATGATAATTTATATGAACATTTCAATATCGAATATACCGCTCTTGGGCATCGGAAAATAGTTAAAAGTCTTCAGTATCTGTCTATATTTCTGAGATAAGGTATTATGTACACTATTTAGATTATTCTGATAATTGTCTTCATCTTTGTCGCCATATTTATTACAACGTTTCGGATTTTCAGTAACTGTCTATATTTCTGAGATGAGGTATTATGTACACTATTTAGATTATTCTGTCTATCATCCTCATCTTTGTCGCCATATTTATTACAACGTTTCGGCCGTTGTACGCCGCAGCCTTCTTCAGTATCTGTCTATATTTCTGAGACGAGGTATTAGGTACACGCACCTCGGGTCTTGTCAATGGATCTAACTAACGCCTTTATTCACTGTGCCTTGAGGATACATGGCACAGTGGATAAAAGTGTTGGTTAGATCCAGTGACAGGACTCAAAGAGTGCGAGTTCAATACCCAGTTAAGGCAGTGGAGAACTTGGAGAGGGAAATTAACAGGAGATAATTGATAACTGACATCCATTAAACATGGCACGCGGAACTAGAACAGTCTACCCCAGTAAGCGAAATCAAGGGTTCAGTTCGACATTCCAACAACCTGAAGAAGGCCGAAGCGTACAATGACCGAAACGTTAAAAAGCTTCGTATTATAGGATATAAACTTTTTCCATTGTTACCAATCGAATTATAACGGCCATCTGTGAAAGCCATGACTAAAGAAATCTTGTTTGAAAATGTTCTGACTGGTTTATCTACGGGAATGTCATTATGTGTTATCGACTGAATCATGTTAAAGATTTGTTAGATTAGCAATACGCTATGCTGATGGACAAATAAATGCTACGCGATTCTTCCAACATAGATATGGCGAAGAATATCTTTATAGTAAATAGCTTTTTACATTTCTTTGAGAATATTGATTGTTTATTTTAACGGATACGATTGTCTATTTTAACGTTACATTGATTAGGTTTGATCTGTTCAAAGTAATATCCACTGTTCTTGGTAGTTGTCGCCTCTAATAGGAAGAAGTGGTCTAATATTTTTCCTGTGTGCATTTGGACTATAGAATGAAACACATGATGAATTATCTATCTATCTATCTATCTATCTATCTATCTATCTATCTATCTATCTATCTATACACACACACACACACACACACATATATATATATATATATGCAGAAATATAGTTTTAAAGTGTGCTATTTTTATGCCTATTTTGGTACTGTCTGTTATGAGCCAGTTAAAGGACTGTATCAACATAAATCACTCTTATGTAAGTATATTCGGGCTTTTAGATTTCTAGATGTTTCGCCTATAAAGATTTTCCGACTTGCTGGCTCTTATATCATAAATCCCGGCATCGGATGTAGTGTTGGATCTATTTGTCTTTCTAACTATATCTCTGATTTTCTTGATATATATATATATATATATATATATATATATGATGTGCGGCAAAAGTCTCTCATCATAAGGATAATTATTTAAAAGTATAATTATGCATTAAAATTTCATTCACTATTTATTTAATTGTTATATGCTCAAAATGTCTTCCTTCTTTTTCAAAACACATCTGAATTCTGTGCCTGCAGGATTCGTTAAAACGTCGGAGAATGTCCTCTCAGTTTACTGCATTCATATTTAATTTTTTCTTTAAGTTTCCCAATATTTTTTGAGTGCCTCTGTTAAACAATTGATTTCAAATGGCCCCACTGAAAAATCCAAAGGTGTCAGGTCTGGTGACTGCGGCAAGCATTCAATAGGACCTATTCAACCTATCCATTAGACCCTCTGGTGTGAGACTTTTGCCTCACCTATATATATATATATATATATATATATATATGTGTGTGTGTGTGTGTGTGTGTGTGTGTGTGTGTGTGTGTATGTGTGTGTGCTCACCAAAAAGGAAAGAACAAGGACGGGAAATCCTTTAAACCTGTACTCCGTCCTCTTGCCTTTTCTCTTTTCTTGTGAGTTGTAAGTTATCTAACGCTTCTTTCCTCATTATCGAA